CAGGTTGGAAAAGTCCCATCTGACTGTAAAGGATGGCCTTTTCCTCCGTGCTTTGGCTGAGGTCTGCTGCCCCAGGCAGATGTACCCCACACACTGCTCTGGCTCTGTACAAGGGATTATACACACCCCTCTCCCCTCCCAGTTTGAGAGCACAAGAAAGATTGCTTTCCCTAGGGGTAGATGAGGCTGTCAGATGGCTTGGACATGCCACTGGTGTTGGTTCAGAAGGGCAGCAGGAAGCCAGGAGAGGAGAGACTGCCACCAGGGCACGGAGGCTTCCAGGAGGGCTGAGGGGTGCCAGCCCTGACTCCTGACTGTGATTTGTACATCCAGGCAACTAGTCACAAAGCACCCAGAAATGATGAGCCCCGGAATGGAAAGGGAGCTGGTGACTGACTGAGAGGCTGGAATTTAAGAGCTGGACAGTCCCCAGGTAGTGATCTGCCTGATTTATGCAGCTGGGGCCTCAGGTCCAGAGCAGAGGGTGGATATGGGGACCCTCAGGGTAGCACAGAAAGTATAGATGGCCAGACACATCGGTGGAAAGAAAGCAGAGATCTAGCTTGTGGGCACCCACATGGGTTCCTTGCCACCTATGACCCAGCTGCTCAGAACAGAGGACGGGGGAGGATTCAGGTAAGGAAATAAGGAAACCGGTCCACATGCTGCCAGGTGGGACCTGCTACGACTGGCAGAATGGCTGCCTCCTCAGGCTCCTTCTGCATAGAATTCCTCTCTCCCTTCCCTCCCCCACTCACACACTAGGATGTCACATCCCTGCATCTTCCACAGCCCTCACTCCTCATCTTCCCAAAGGAGTTAATCAGAAACTAATTAGGTTGTGTCTACTGGTTCACACAGGATTTGGAACACAGCTGATAGAGAACGTGATGGGGTATAGGCGTGATTGTCAGTCTTTGAAAAGCATCAGCTCGACGCCCTCCCAGGACTGTTACCTGCACCCTCACGCTGGCAACGCACAGAGCTCAGGGTGAGGGGCAGGAAGGCATAAATCTACTCCCAGCCTCCTAAGGAGAAACTGGGGTCAGAGGTGCTCCAGGGCCTCTTGGCAAGAGAGCATAACATAGCCTTGTGGCTAAGAACCCAGCTTCTCAGAGCTGGATGCCTGGGTATCCAGCATATGAGTCTGGGTGCTGATTTGCCTTTCAGAGCCTCAGCACTGTTGTGAAATGAGAATAAATGTTATACACCTCCCAGATGTTTCGAGACTGAAGAAATGACGCGTAGATAGCATACAGCAGTGTCTAGGGGCCCTGCCATGACTGTGTTATGAACAGACATCAAACACACACACTGTTTTCCTAAACACAAGCATTTTTGCTCTGAGCTCTGCGATAGCTCCCTGAGATTGCAGTGGGGGGGGGGGTCCACAGGAGTCCAGGATCCTGTAATTGGCCACATATTTCAATGAGCACGCTGAGTCTTAGAATGGTAGCTCTGCTAGGTATAGAATACTTAAACATCCCTGTGACTCATCAGAATTTTGTATGAGTTTGTAAAATTGATAATTAGCACATTGTAACTTAGATGACATGTACTTCATTATTGAGATGGCTCCTCTGTGGAGATCTTCAATCACTTTTATGTCTGATAACTGAGAAAAAGTATGTTCATTGTCCACAGACTATAGAATTTTTAGAGACACCTTCATTTTTTCCCTCTTCAAACAATAACCAAACTGATTTAACCAGCTGGTTGATTTAAAAGAGAAATCTCTCATTCATTACCAACTCCCTTCTCTCTGTCTTTCTTCATTGCATTTCTCATCCCCACATCTATTGATCTCATTCAGTCATTTGTCATCTTCCCTCTTCAGTATCATGTGAGGTCCACAAGACAGGGACCTTTGATGTTTTATTCCCTGTAGTCTCTCCCAAGCATGGAATAGTACTCAGCATCAGATGCTTTGCAAATTTATAATGTCTTACAAACGTAAGGTCTATTATTATTTTTGTCAAGCGTATAAATTGAGTGGAAACAAAATATTACAGTTCATGGAAGAAATCATTCTGTCAAGTATTTGGCATGTAAGACTTGCTAAGCCAGGTATGGCTGCACATACCTGTAACCCTACCATTCAGGAGGCTGAGGCAAGAGGACTGCAAGTTCAAGACCACCTTGAACTACATAGTGAGTTCAAGGCCAGGCTGGGCTACATGGTGAGAATCTGTCTCAAATACAAAAACAAAAGACTTGCTCAAACATCGGGGACAATTGTATGAAAGTTAAAAATGTTGATGGTTATTTTTGTAATATTTTAATAAGGTTTCTTATTAGTAAGTTTAAAGACAAATTAACTTTTAAAGGTATTTTCACTAACATGACATGTTCAAAAGGCAATTAAATAAGTTTTACATTTTTTGGTGAGTTAACTATCACTGACTTATTTACTTAATTGATTTTTATTTTGTTAGCATGAAGGTTTTTATCCAAATCTTCATTTTAATGATCTTTCATGTTATAAAAGTAGTACGTGTTCATGCAGAAAATTTAGAATATTGTAAAAATATAAAAAATATAAAAATCTTCCTTAATTCCATCTCTGCCCAGAGAGCACAATAACTGTGAACATTATATTCTATTTCCTTTCTAATCTTTTGCCATGTATAAATCTATTCTCTAGGGTTTTTTCTTTTACAAAATAAGAGTCAAGCTGTATGCACAGTTCCATAACCTGGTTTTCATACGCTTGGATTTTTTTCCTTTTAATGTTATACTAAAATTTTTTATATTATTAAAATTATTGAAAAAACAAGATTTCATAGCTACAGAATATTCCATTGTAAGTCAGTGCCATAATTTGCTTAGTCTGTCCTCTTTTATTGATGGCAACATTGAGGTGAGATCACCTCTTATGTTTCATTGCTGTAAATAATCCCTGCTTATGTGTCTTTTAGAGTGTTCTGAGGCCTGAATCAGGCTTCTCTATACATTTGGTTGGGACTTATTTGCTAGCTTGCAAATGGACTGGCGTATGCAGGTAGATAGGAAATGAAGCCTTTCATGTTGGGACCACAGTAGTGGTGGGAAGGGATGGCTGCCGGTTCTATAGAGGACCACTCTGGGCAAATTAAGACCACGTGGAGACCCAGTAACCCACAAGCATGTCTTGACCAATCCAGTAAAACACATGTGGCCAGATGTTGCATGGAGACAGAAGTCCTGCTTGCTGCAGAGATCTCTAACCCCCAGATCCCTTTTCTAATGTGAGGACCAAGCTGCCTATTGGCAAACCTGCCCATCTCTTTGCTACTGTTTTCGCTTCTTTTTTTCTTTCTTCTACTCCTGGATTCATTCATCCTTGCATGCAACCAAGGACAAACATTGTATGATTTATTATCAGCACTTGCCAAAGAATGTTCTTCTCCATTGGAGAAGTCCACAGCTGGATCCCAGCCTCACATAAAGAGCTTCCTGGGACAGGAGAAAGGATTTTCCTGCTTGGGAACCCGACCTGCATCGCCATGAGTTAGTCCCTGCCTGAGTAAGGTGGGTACAGTGCATCTGACCAAAGCCCCTGAAGTTTCTGTCTTTCTTCTGGCTCTGGATCATGTGCCCACCCACAGGTCCACGGAACCACTGTGAGATAGAGTCATTTGTGCTCTCAATAGTCACTGAGCACTTCCTGTGTTCCAGGCACTGTGCTAGGTGCCAGGGACATGGAGGTCATCCAGGCCATCTAGCCTAGTAGTTTCCACCTGTCCTATCTCTATCATCTGTCAGTCACTCAAGCAAACACAGATCATCCTCACTTCCTCTCATTTCTCACCTTCCGCCTTGGACCCATTTGTCCTTCAAACCCATGCAGCATGTTTCTTCCTGGGGCCTTTGCACTGTCTGCTCCTTCCTCCTAGAATCTCCCTCACCCTGGTGTCTGCCCAGCTGGCTGGCTTCCTCTGGCCTCTGCTTACCTGTCACCCTCCTTGCAACCACTGAGACTACATGAGCAATCTCACCTGCAGAGCTGCCTCTGGTCCCTCCCTGCTGTCATGAAGCAGGCTTTCCATTGCCATTGTCTCTACCTCTATCAGCAAAGCTCCATGAGCTCAACACTAGAAGGATAGCCATGTGCTCCAGTGCCAAAACCTGATACACAAGGGACTTTGAGTGAACACTAGAACCAGTGAAGGTGGCCTTCCCACTGCAACATAGCTGGTGTCATTCAACCCCGCTCCTCAGGCCCAGTCTGCCATGCTCAACTGGTGCAGCTCCACCCTGAGCTCACTTATATCTTCCCAATAGGATAAGAGCTGACCATGTCTCTTCCCTCCTTAAAGTCCTCCTAGGAGCCCTGTTGGGGCAGGCAGAGCATTACCTCTCCTCGCCCCTTTATTCTTCTGAGTCTCTGTTGTCATCTTTAAAGTGGAGGTTTATTTGAGGATCCAGTGAACTGACAGCAGTTGAGCAGGTTAGCGTCCATGGCAAGACATCACCCGGGCCTCCTTCACAAGGCCAGCCACACCCCCAGCCCTTCCCTGTCCTTGGCAGTGAAGCTGGTGACTCCTTGGTCCTGCCAACCACACAGTTCTGCTCTTGAGGCTCCCGGGCACTGCACCTTAGGAGAACCAGAACTTTACACACTCCCTCTGTGCACATCCGAGTGTCACCATGAACCCAGAGTAGAGGTATTCCAGGTGCAGGGATGCGAAGGGGAGTAAAATGACGTGAAACTGCCACACACCATTCAGCCACTTCAAAGCCTGGAGTGCCGCCCGCCCACCCTGTGTTCCCAGCCAGACAATCCAGTTGGAGATGAGTCACCGTCAGGAACAAGCTTCGGGAGCTGGGCTCTGAGAGAGGCAGGCAGGGGATCAGTGACCTCGGGTGTGTGCCCACGCTCAGCCCAGCAGCTGGTTTGCCCCCCCCGCCCCCGTACCCCAGCCAGCCTCAGGCTCATCCACTACCCTCGCCACTCAGTCTTCACCACAGCTCTGGTCACATGGAGGGAAACCAGAGTGGACATGCTTACATGGACGCCCATGTCCAGCTCCTTTGCCTTAGAGACTCCAACAAGCTCCACCCAAGCAACAGGTCTGACAGCACCAGCAAATGGCTTTTCTGAGGTCATGATGAAATCCTCAAATGGGGGAGGCAAGGAGGAGGTAGATAGTGAGATTGAACATCTAATTTCTGCCTTTGGATCCAGAAAGCCCATTCTGTTTCCCAAGGATTTTTGTGGGACACATTATGGGCAGCTGGTAAACAAATCAATGCACACAAGCCGGCGTGGGTTGCCAGGAGACTGCAGCCGGAGGGTACGTGTAAAGTGCTGATTGGGTTGCAGGATGCGGGAAATGGTAGCCCTGGCTGATATGGGCACTGTTGTCATCAGGGTGACAAGATGTCTAGGGAGAATCTCAGGTCTTTGCAAGGGCTTCCTTCTCAGCAAGTTGAGCATCCTTCAAAGGCAGCCTCAGCACGTCATGGTGCGCTAGCATCAGGCCGTGGTTGGCTTATTCCATGTTTCCATGTACTTGTGCAAGTTCCCTCAGTACCCAGCCCAGAGCCAGTTTGCAGAGCCACACTGACCCTCCATGCCCCTGAAGAGCTGCTTGTCTAGAATAATTTAGGACAAAGTTAGCCTGGAAGGATGTCCGTGTGTTGTGGAAGCCCAGCCACCGTAACCACTCTGTCTCCACCAGTCGAGAATCTTCCAAAGAAACCTCTTGAGCTAGCTGTGCACAGCTACATAGGAGTTTGCCAGGTAGAGGGGAAGGAATGACATGCCAGGGGGAGGGAAGAACAACATGAAAGAATGAGGCACCCTTTTTGTCCAGGAGGCAGTCCAGCTGGAATGCCAGGGCGCAGTCTATGCGGTGTCTCTGTCCATAACTGAGGGGCTCTGGGGCTGGCAGAGTCCCTCTCCACAGCTCTTTACCCCTTCACTGTGACCTTGGGTGGGTTATCACCCTGAGCCTCAGTGTTTTCATTTAGAAAATGGGAATGATGTCTCCCACCCCTAAGGGTCTGTAACAATAGCACGGTGGTGCCATAACCTGACACATGCAAGTATTTGATTGGTGCGAGCCCCATTTGAAGGCCCAAGTGTGCAGAAAGCCTCCACATACAGGAATATCTACCCCTTGCCAGCCTCCTGAGCCACTTAGGAACTTACACATTGTCCTCCAGACTCCCAAAGTGATCACTGCAAACAGTGTGTCATGTAGTCTTACGGCTTCCCTGCCCTGGAAGGCCCACCCCCCACCTCCCCACAGCCTCAGAAGCCCCAACCTTCATCTCAGAGTCGCAGGGCCCGGTGAAAGGTAAAAGGAGCCCATGGGCTCTCCGAGAGAGGCAGCACTCTGAGGATGACGTTTCCATGGCATCAGATGCCACCACAGGCAGGGGTAGAGGAAGTGCAGTCAGCATGTACTTATTAAGCACCTATGCTACACTGGTTCAGCACATAAGTAGGGAGGGTCCAGGGCCCTGGAGGCTGCTATAGGAAACTGGCACATTTTCCTGAGGACAGTGAGGAGCTATGAAAGGATTTTAGCAAGGGAGTGGCATGATCCATTTTGACCTTAAGAGAGATCTGTGTGAAAGCAGCACGAGGGATGAATTGTGTGCCCATTTATAGCCCCATCCCTGGACACACGTGTGCATGCACACCCAACCATCGCACGCTCAGGCATACACACCAATGTGAACACAGACACAAGTGCCCACGTGTATTTTTAGAAAGTGAGGATCACAGGCCTCAAGATTCCTTTTGAATTTTCTGGTGTGAAATTACAGTTCTCCAAGCAGCCATCCCCAGCAAGCTGGGGAGATCACCTCCCACCCACACTTCCCCAGGTCAGAGCTCTCCCCTTGGTTTCCATGGAGACTGAGAGTGGGTGTCAGGCCAGCCTGGGGTTCACAGTGGGAAGGCTGAGCAGTGTCAGGAGGGGCTGTAAGGAGTTGCCCAGAGAGGGATTTCAGGTCAGTGGTGTCCATTCTGCCACCTGACAGTAGAACATACATCAGTGTGGCAGAGGGGCTTTCCATGACGACCCCTTGCTCTTATTCCCACTGTCCCTGTCAGAACCTGAGGCTCGGAGAGGCAAAATGCTTTGCCCAGAGTCACATGGAAGCAGCTGAGTTGATATTAGCACCGGGGATCAGACTTCAGAGCAAGACTCCGGGAAGAGAGGTCTCTAGTTCGTTTGTTAAATAGAACCAACTCACTGACAGTGTGTTTGACCTATGAGCTCCATCAAAACATGGTACCCCCTCTGGGGAAAAATAATGAAAGAGGTCCCTCAGGGAGGCAAGGATTGGACCTCTGGACCTTCCTCTTCAGGAAAAGTTCTGACCACAGTAATGTCACCCCAGGATCTACAAGGGCCAGGCTGCCTCCTGCTGGCTTCCCCTGTAAGTGCCCCTTGGGCTCAGCATCCATGGTGCCTGCTCAGTAGCCCCCAAACCTGCAGCCAAGTGACCCCACTCCAGAGGAAATAACGCATTCTCCCTCCTGTTCCCAAAGCCTCGTGTCACTTGAGGACACACCAGGAAAGACAGAGCTGGTTCTGATCTTTAGCAGCATGGGAGAGTGGGTTATTTCTTGAAAATGGTCCACTCCACTGCAAATGGCTGTTAAAGTAGCTGGGCCCTCCTTACTGTCCTAGACATGAGGATGGCATGCAGTCCAAGCAGGGGGAGAGGAGGGGAGGAAGAGGCATTTTCCTTCATAGTCCAGTATTTCTGAATCAGTAATTTAATATATCCAGTGCCTTCTGAGGGAGTGTGCCGGACGACCATGTGGGCTTTGGACTCGAATAGACTCAGGCTGTAATCTCAGCCTATAGATGAAAGTTGTGTGACCTTGGGCAAGCTACCTGACCTCTTGGAGCCTCAGCTTCCCTATTTATAAAAGTGAGGAAGCCGGGGCGTAGTGGTGCAGGCCTGTAGTCCCAGCACCCTGGGAGTCTGAGGCAATTTAGCAACTTAGTAAGACTCTGTCTCAAAATTGAAAACTTAAAAAAAGCACTGGGGTTGTAGCTCAGTGTGAAGGCGCTGGGTTCAACCCCTGCTAACATAGATGCACGCACAAAACAAGAGGAAAAGAGCACCTTCCTCTTAAACTTATTAGAGTAGTAATATGGTTTAAATGAGGTGCCAGTGAACACTTCCAAAGCCTTGAACTAGGTCCTTTCCCACTACATTGTTTTTCCCACCATGAAATGAGGACATTGTGCTGACCTTAAAGATTCGTTCCTGCCCTGACAGTTATAAGCTGCTCAGCCTGCCCTGGACCCTTGAAGGTGTCCAAAGCAGTGGGATCTCACAGGTCCATGAGACAGGAGAGCCCAGTGGAACCTCCAGTTCCCACTCCAGTCCACTCAAAGAGATGGCCCCCTCCCCCACCACCACTGGGACCCCAGCCCCCACTGGCCCCACCTGTGCACCCACAACCCCCATACTTTGTAGCCCAGAGGTCCTGGGCGGCCTGTTTGCTACCAAAGTCACTGTCCCTTGGCAACTCAAGGGACGCACACGCCCAGCCTGCAGGACTGGTGGGTGCGGTGCGGGCGCCCCCATCACCTGCCTGTTTGTGTCTCCGCAGGTGAGTGGAGGGGCCTTCCCGGCGAGAAATCAGAGCTGTGCCCGTGGGCAGGCTGGCTCCGCTCTTCTGCTCCAAGGATTACATGTCCTTCAAACGCCCTTGCCCCTGTAAGTCTCCCCTGCACCCTCCCACCCCTGAGGGCCAGCCACGGCAGAGTGGGAGTTGGGGTTGCAGAGAACAGTTGTAAGATGTTTGTCCAAGGACCTGCACGGGTCTGACTAGGGTGTGCTGGGGGTGGGGGAAACCTGACATCTCTGAAATGCTCTCTGAAAACTGAAAATCCTACTTTAGCCATTCCTCAGTGTCATCCGTTTCTGAAATGTGGATCAGGGCTTGTTTGGGGCATAGTAATGGGAAAACACACACACACACACACACACACACACACACACACACGATGGCCAATAAGCATGGAAAGGGCTGGATGAGGCTCACTGAGAAAGTTTTGCTACCACAGGATTTTTCAGAGCTTTTAATGCCATGATGTGTGTGGTGCGACTCCCCTGGGAAACAGAAAACCTGTACTCTTCCCCAACTTACATGCCCACAGGGATCTTTTACTCACTTGGGGCTCCACAGGAAATATTCCCTGGAGCTGACTGTCCGGGGAGATCTGTCCTAGAGCCTCCATTAGAAAGCCCCTCAGTTAATGAACCCATTAGATGACTGTGCTTATGGCTCCAGCCGGATGTAACTTGGGGCCAGGAGAGCGGCCCTTCCCAAGTCTCCACCAGCCCCACTTCTGCCACCTCCTGTTGCCTTAACTTCTGTGGCAGCCACCTGCTTTGTCCCGTTACATTTCCTGATCCCCTAACTCTGCCAGCACCTCTTACTGTTCAGGGGGACGTGCATAACTGCCCATCCTTTCCCCTGACTGTGCATGTGTGTGAGAGAGGTCAGAGACACCCCCACAATCACTCTGGATAGTACTTTGTTCTCCTCACTAATGTCTATTCAGATTTCCACCACTGATTACCCGTCATGCCTCTTGGGGTGGGGACACCTCTTTCAAATAGTCAAAGCCCCAGTTGTTAAATCTCCAAACAAGAGGAGATCGGTGCAGTGGAGGTGGGGGAAGCTGACGTATCCTTTGTGGATGGGATCTTCAACACGCATGCTGGGAATAGGGTAGCCTGGCTGTGGGGTTTACTTCCAGAGTGTGTCAGAGTACAGGAGAATAGCCTGTAATCCCAGCACTCAAGAGACTGAGGCAGGAATATCACAAATTCAGAGCCAACATGTACTACCGAGTGAGTTCAAAGCTAAGCTGGACTTTATAGCAAGACCCTGGAGGGGTTGGGGGAGCTCGACTACTGTGAGTACCCAAGGAGGGTCTGGATTAAGAGCTGATCAAATGATTTCTGATGGATGGTACAAGCTCAATAACTTGTCACTGTCATCACTGTTAGTGTCGCACAACCAGGAAATGGAAGCCTGAGTCCCAAGCCAAGGGAGAAGGCTGCCGCTCAGGGGGGATGCCTGCCCCACAGAGAGCTGCAGTGATCACTTCCTTGCCCCTCCCTGCTGGTGAGACAAGAGCAGCTAGCAGTGGAGAAGTCTGGGAAGGATCAAGGCTGGAAGTGCTGAGTGTGGAAAACTTTCTAGAATCTTCTGGGGTTGATCTCTGACCCTTGGGAGCCTGGTCCGTCTGTACTAATAGGTGCCATCGTTCTGACTTATCCCCCATCTGAACCCCCTCTTCAGATCTGTTCTAGAAATCATTCACTTATTACCCAGCCCTGTGTTTGCTCACCTGTAGAGATGAACTTCTAGAAAGCAGAGACTGTGCCTACCCTGCTGCTAGCACCGTGCCCAGGCCCTGGCACGGAGTGAGATTTCCACCACTGATTACCCGTCAGGAGATGGTCAGTAGATGGTTGGATGAGCAGGTGAATGAGGAGATGAAGCAGATGCCTGGCAGGCAGCCTCCCCAGCTTGCAGCCCCGAGGCCCACACATGGGTTCTGGTAGGGATACGGGATGACAGATGCTATGGACCCCCGGAAACACCAGACACAGAAGTGCTCAGGAAGGGAGCCTGGAAGTTCCAGGAGGCATCATAATAGTCATGGGTACACCTCACCAGTTCCTTCTCAGACCTGGAGCTGCGCTATGCATTGAGAAATCATGAGGAGCTGCCCTAACTCTCCTTGCTCACAAAGCGCTCTTGCCAGGTCTTGTGAAGATATTGAAGCCCATAAAAACTGCACAATTTAGGGTAGTGGCCAGTTTCTTCCTGGTTGGGTTTCCACATTCCCAACTCTTGCCATTTTAGAAGGGCAGCTGGACAGTCTCCAGAAGGAAAAATAAACCAGGAAACTCCCCAAGCAAGAGCTCATTTCTAGGAGGGAGAGCTCACAAGGTCCAGAGAGAGTAAACAGGTCATATCTGCTGGGGGCAGTGGGGAGGGTGGCAGGGTGAACGGGGGGTCAACCCAGCTGCAAGCACAGATCTTCTAGCTCCTGCAGACACTGGGGAAGTAGGGTCATTGGCCTCTCAGGAGTGGCACAGACATTAGCAAGCCAGGCTGGGCCCCACATCCCCCCACCCCAACCCCATCTCACCTCCAGCAGCCCTCATGGGCCCCCACCAGGCAATGAGAAGATGAAGCAGAGGGAGGAGGCAAGATTAAGAACAGGGAAAGAAGAGAATGCCTGACCCAGGGAAACCAGAGGCGTTGGGACTGAGTGGCTGCAGGAGGGAATCAGTGTCTCTGCCTGCCACTGCCATGGTTCCTTAGGACGAGTGGAGGTGGGGGAATCTTCTCCTTCAGGCCCCAGCTAAGCAGGATGGCCCAGGGCTCCCTGGGGACCCAGGCTTCAAGAACTGATGCTTCACAGCCTCTTCTTCATCACCCAGCAGATGGCAGCTCCATGGGGCTCCCTGAGAGGCAGGGGCAGGCTGCTTTCCTCCGGCCTCGGAGAACAGATTTTGGAAAGGAGGGGCTTTGAGGCCCCAGGGGATACTGAGCCTGTAGCAAAGCAAACTGAAGAAGAAGGTAGCATCCCACAATCATGAAGTCAAGTAGGGCTCGTCTCCACCAGGCTCACGGTGGCTGCCCACAGGCTGGCAGAACTCGCAGCCTGCCAGGGTGCCTGCGTGCCTTGAGTCTCCCTTGGAGTTGGGATGATGTAGTAAGCAATGCTGGGGTTCAAGTACAGACTGGGGCTGATATTCCCAGCTGTCTGATCTGAAACAACCTAACCTCCAGAGACCTGAATTTACTCATCTGTGAAATGGATACAGTAATGCCACCCTGGCGGTTTGATGCTCACATCTGAGATTGGAAAGGAGATGCCAGAAGGGGGAGATGGCAGCGGGGAGAATCTAGCCTGGTGTCAGGCTCTGAGAAGAACCTCAAAAAACTTGAAAGTCTTGTCTTTTGGCCACCTTTTCCCTATACATCTTAGTATCACCCAGATCTTTGGGGGAGGGGCTCTGAAGGTGAATTTGGGAGTTGGACCACGTGTTAGTTTTCCATTATTGTGACAAAACCCCTGTGATGATCAGGAAGAAAAGTTTTTTTGACTTATGGTTGCAGAGGCTTCAGCCTATCATCCTGTGACTCCATTGTTTCGGGCCTCTGGTGTTAGCATGTGGTATGGGAGTCCTGTAGTGATAGAGCAGAAGCAGCTGAAGTCCCAGTATCCCTTTCAAGTGCATGCCTCAGGGAACCCATCTCCTAAAATTTCCACCACCTCCCATTAGTGCCTCGTGGCAGAGGCCAAGCCTTCAACACATGGGCCTTTCAAGATCTGAACTATAAGAGGCCAGATGCTGTTGTTTTCTGCTGTGCTCTTTGTGACAGTTAACCTCTGCAGAGACTGAACTATCAACAGGACTTGAGGGCGAGAGGGAAAATGATGGGACACACTCCACAATTCACCACTTCTGTGCCCAGAGCAGACATTACCAATCGGTTGCAGCACTGTTTTCCCCCACTGAGTCTGAATGCAACCTCAGACTCTTTCCAAACACGTGCAGGAACTCCTCAAAGATCATGAGCCAGTGTCATCAAACCCTTGTCCATCCAGTGCTGAAACTGGACTTTGGGGTGGGCAAGGGAATGAATAGATGGAGTGAACTCAGCTGGTCATTTCTCCCAGAGCCTCAGCCTCCTCATCTGTAAAATGAGAGTTGATAAGAATACCCACCTCTTAGGGTTGCAGTGAGCATCAAATGAGATATCACTGGTGAGGGGATTGGTACTTTGTGTGGCCTTCTTGCTTCTTCGAAGCCCTGCAAGGAAGGGTTCATATGCCCATTCTGCACACAAGGAAACCGAGGCTCAGAGATTAAAAAAAAAAAAAAAAAAGTAGTGTGGAAGACACAGTGGGACCAGGAGAACACCCTGAGTGAGTCAGTCCAGGGCTTAATTTTAGCTAACTATAGCTGTACAAAAGCACAAGGGTGGAGCTCAGCCTATTCCTCCAGCCCCAGGGCCCAGGTGGGGAGTCCACTGTGCAGTAGGACCCTAGGGCCTTTAGAAACCCCAGTTCTCATGGGGCTCGTAGTCAGAGATGATAAACAAGAATCAGCAAATGAATGTATCAGGTGTCTAGTGGTGGGAAGAGCTATGAAGTCAGACCAGGGTGAGATGATGGGCAAGGACATGGGCTCTAAGAAGGGACCCCAAGGTTACTGGAAGAGAGAGAGAGGGAGCCATTCGGGTGTCTAATGCAAGAGGGTTACAGAGGGACTTAAGTGGAGGCCGGCCTGGCCTGTTCCAGCAGCAACAGGAAAGCTGGGGTGCCTGAGAAGGAGGAAAGGGACACACCAGAGGTTAACAGGTCAGATGAGAGAGGCCCTTGGAAGCCATGGTAGGACTTTGGCTTTTGTTTCTAAGTAGTCACTGGAGGGTTTTGAGCTGAGAAGAGGCCTGATCATCTCAAGGGGAAGGCAAGAGGGGCAGTTAGGAAGCTAGGACAGTGGTGCAGGAGGTGGTGACGATGCCTGGGACCGGGAGATTAGTATTGGAGGGGACAAGATAGAGACGGGCTTGAAGGTGAAACTGGATCTGCAGACTAACTGGATTCGGAGTGGATGAGAGGAAGAGGAGTTAATAATGACAGCGCTTGGCACTTGATCACGTAGAGGGGCAGAACCGG